TCCAATGTTTGAAAAGGGCTAAAGAAAGAAAGACAGAAGAGAGCAAACACAGCAGGGCTCTGGTGACTCAGCCCCCTGACTTTAACAGCAATAAACAGACTGCTGGCCTTTTCTCACAGTGACGCACACACAAAATATATAACCTACACACTCCAACGCAGGTCCATCTCCCAAGCTGAAATGCTGGCGACTTGCAAAGTCACGAGAAGTCACCATATTATATCTGCTAATTTAAGCAACTATTCTTTCTATGCGGATTCTGCTTTGACCTACTATCCTCCCATTGGTTAGAGAGGAAGGGCCGCCACTGCCATAACTGGATAATAGTAACAAATACCATCATTGTATAATGTAGCCATAATAAGGTTAAAAGGTTTGCAACAAAAAAAGTGGTAACAATATATCCTGATGTGTAGCAGTTGTAGTGGTGCAACAAATTGTCAGTATTAGGAGTCTGTATGTAATCTCAATTTTTCCCTGTATGGTCCATATAATATAATTACACAATGCACATGCATGATGAAGTTTCTGGCACACAGTTTTTATGCTGATGTTAAGGCGAGAGGAAGCACTCAGGTCGGATATCAACTTTTTCTGAGTTTGGCATCAAAGTTTTGTTGCATCTGTTGTGAAGACTAAACATCTTGTTATCTTTAAAGCTTTGCATGACTAAGAAGTAGTTTAGTGCCCTGTCCAATTTTGTGTACAGTATGGTTTGTGATGCTAATAGGTTTTTGTATTAACAGCTCACCTGCACTACCAGTGATCAATACTTCAGTGCTGTCTTTGCTGTACATTTACAAATGTACATTTACAAATGTACTGCAAACCTAACAATACAACAATCAATGTAGATTGTCCATCTCAAGAGTCTTCTAGATAAATAATCTTTATAAAAAGCATAAAAAGATGTAGTATGTTGTAAAGAAATGTTAATCCCCTGACCCCTGGATGTTTTGAGGTTGTATAAACTGAAAAGACAAATTACTGTGTTGTTTAAAATTCTTTAGCTGAGCGTAGCAGAGCATTCAAAGTTGCTCCAATCTGTGCTTGGAGCAACTTTCTTTAATTTAAGGACACTTTCTACTCAGTCTGACTGCTTCCTGTTAAAAAAAGACATTACTGATTGTTACTACTGCATTTACTCTCTGTAATGAACTCTAAAATCTAAAACCAACCTTGCCATTACTTAATATTAAAACATCATCATCATCATCATCATCATCATCATCATCATCATCATCATCATCATCATCATCAAAATTCATATAGAAATGGAGTACTATTCATAAATTGCTACTTGTACCAGAAATCACTTCATAGCTATCTTCTCAAGTCTCCCTTCCATATCCACAGTGTCCTATTTCACACTGTGAATGTATTTTGAGAGTCTGCGACCTGTAAAGCTTTTACTCGGGAATTCAGTGGCAGCATTATTCAGAGATTACTTGTAGATAGGTCGGCTGCCAATCACATGTCAAACACACTGAACCTCAAAGCCCACAGACAGGCTGTAAATACAGTAAATCACTAGTGAAAAGCAAAGATGAACCATGGATTCTCTTTTCATTTTAGACTATTTTACCAGTGGTGTTCCATCAGGACAAGCAAGGCAGGCACTGCTTGCCTTGTCAAATCTAAAAACAGATATAAGTGAAAATGTACCAAAGCAAATTGACCTCTCTCCTTTCATCTCAGACAGTCCTGTCATAAAGCTTGTCGCATGCCAATTAATATGTGCATCCATCCTTTACATTACTGCCGTCTTGTGGCTGCAGTCAGATGTTGTCGTTGTCGCTATTGTGCTTCTTGCAGTCTTGTAGAAAACTGCATATTTGTCGACAACATGTAGGGAACGATATTGGCATACAGGCGTTCTAAATATCACGTTATTTGCCATTCTTTCAAGTTGTTCCCAAAATATGTTATATCTTTAAAGAAAGCATTGTCAAGAGAAAGAGAACGAGCTGTCTACCTAGTTAGAAATGTTAT